GCCCCGAGACGCCTCCCGAAGCACTCCAAATCGTGATCCGGTCGTTCAGGGAGACCGCGGCCGGTTGCAAGGCGGCCGCAAGAAGCCCCCAGAGGCCCCCCAAAGGCGCCCGGCAGGCCCCCAGGTGTCCCAAAAAAGCTTTCCTGAGGGGCCCCAGGACACCTCCAAGGAGGAGCCCCTGCAATAAAAACTGGGGATGAGGACAAGGAGTGGCTCGCAGACAAGGAAGATTACGAGTCAGAGGAAAGGAAGTATAAGGATAACACATAACATTACTATAACGACGATGGCGCAAACGGCAACAATGAATCATCGCTATATTTGGTTCTCCTGCATGCCGAGCTTTAAGAACCAAGGTGTATGGCGCGAAGCGCCAATGCAGTCTTGCATAATATATATATATATATATATATATATATATATACTAGAACCACGCGCGCGCTTCGCGCGCGCTTAGGTTCTAGTTTGCTCCGAAAACGGTGTTCGCAAGCACGGGTCCGATTCCGTGGCGATTCGCGGGAAATCTACGTCCGAAAATGACGTGTTGCCAGAGGCAGGTCCGCGGATGCTTTAATGCAACGTGTCCAGTGTATCCAACGATTGCATACTTGTTACATATGCTACATATTGTATTGTTCTGCAATATTAGGCCCCCCCCCCTTGGAGCCGCGCCACATCGTCGGACCAAATCTGGAGGGCCTCATTCTGGGCCTCAAAACATAGAAAGACCTATGGAAAATCAACAATTTCGGCCTCTTGGGCCTCTTGGGACTCCAAGAGGGCCTCAAGATGGCCGACGATGGCCCCAAGACAGCCCAAGACGGCCTCAAGACGGCCCAAAATGGCCCCAAGAGGGCCCATGAGGCTCCCAAGAAGATCCACGAGAGCACTCAAACCCGAACAATCTTTCCATGACACCCTCACCCTTAGACCCGAACCTTGAGACCGAAGACCCGAGCCCAGAAATCGAACCCGAACGCCTCAACATCTCAAATGAAGAGGCTCATCCCCGCTCCACCGTTTCCTCCTTCCTTCTGAATCCTTCCTTCTTCCACTTGCTCAAACTCCTCCTCCTCCTCCTCCTCCTCCTCCTCCTCCTCCTCCTCCTCATCGCCCTCCTCCTCCCACTCCTCCTCCTCCTCCTCCTCCTCCTCCTCCTCCTCCTCCTCCTCCTCTCTCCTCCTCTCCCCTTCTCCCCCTCCTCCTCCTCCTCCCCCTCCTCCTCCTCCTCCTTCTCCTCCTTCTCCTCCTCATCCCCGTCCCCCCCCTCCCCCTCCTCGTCCTCCCCATCCCCCTCCAATGCGCCGGGCCGGGCATGGTATGGAAACTGCCTTCGCCGACTCTCTGCCGCCTTGCCTCTTGGGGCCTCTTTGGGGCCTCTTAGGCACCTCTTGGAAGCCTCTTGGGGGCCTCTTGGGGGCCTCTTGGGGCATCCTGGGGCCTTCTTGGGGTTGTCTTGGGGCCCTCTCGGGCCGTTTTGGGGGCCTCTTTGGCCGTCTTGGCGCCCTCTCGGGCCGTCTTGGGCGCCTCTTGGGAACCTCTTGGGCCGTCTTGGGGCGGTCGTGGGGGTCTTTTCGACCGTCTTCAACGCCGTGAAGGCCGAAAACATACATCTGCTAAAAATATACACTTTCATATTGAAAATCAATGATGTTTGCCTCTTGGAGCCCTCTTGGGGCGCCTCCTCGAGGCCTCTTGGGGCGCCTCTTGGAAGCCTCTGGAGCCGTCTTGGAGCGTCTTGGGAAGGAGGGCGGTGGAGAGCGAGGGAGCTCCAAGAAGTCTCTTGGGCCATCTTGGGCGGACTGGGAGGCCCGGGGGCCGCCCGAGGAGCGTCCCAGGAAGCCCTCCTAGGCCCTCTTAGCGCTGTCCTCAGGCGTCCTGGGGCGTCCTTGGGCGCCTCCTGGGGCTGTCTGACAACTCGGACAGCCAAGGGATGAGATATCCTAAAAATGTACGTTTTACGAGGGGAATGGGGCCATTTTGGTCTCCCGGGGCGCTCTTGGGGGGCCTCTTGGAGGCCTCTTGGGGCGGTTTGATGGCCTCTTGGCCCTTCTGGAAGCGATCTTTGGCGGTCTTGAAGCGATCCTGGGGTTCTCTCGGCGCTCTTGGAGCCTTCTTGGGCGGACTGGGCAGCCCGGGGGCCGCTGGAGGAGCGTCCCGGGAGGGCCTCCTGGGCCGTCTTGGGGCTGTCCTCAGTCGTCCTTGAGCGTCCTTGGGCGCCTCGTGGGGCTTTCGGGCCGCTCCGACAGCTAAGGGAGCTGATATCGTAAAAATGTACGTTTTACGAGGGGAATGGGGCTATTTTGGTCTCCCGGGGCGCTCGTGGGGGGCCTCTTGAAGGCCTCTTGGGGCGGTTTGAGCGCGTCTTGACCCTTCTGGAAGCGATCTGTGGCGGTTTTGAAGCGATCCTGGGGTTCTCTCGGCGCTCCTGAAGCCCTCTTGGGCGGGCTGGAACGCGCGGGGGCCGCCGCAAGGGCACCCCGGGAGAGGGCCGCACCCTATATACAAGGGAGGTTCCGGCCCGGGGCCCGGGGCCCGGGATCTCCCATATATGTATATATATATATATATATATATATATATACACCTCCCGTCCCTTCCTTTCGCGCGGCAGACCGCGTCGCGGTGCTTTGCGCGCGCGCCAGGAGGGCAACGGGGAAGGGGGCGAACGCCTGCGGATGGCGCCCAACCCCAAGGGGCTGGCACCGACGCACCAGTAGCCGACCACGCCGGCCAAGCACCCACGGCGCCCCCCCGCTCAGCAATCTGAGCCCTGCGCAACCCCTGTCTCGCCTCCTGCGAGTTCTAGGCGCCGAGCGCGGCCTCAGATGTTGAAGTCACGATTGAAAGTGCGATGTTGACCGGCAGCGCCTGCTATGTGGAGGATACTTCGCACGGAGGTGCGCCACCCCGTGCGCCCCGCTTTCCGGGCTGCGCCTTGGTCAAAGGACCAGCCCCTCGCAGGGGAACTGCCCGCTCCCCAAAAGGTTGGTGGAGGGGCGGCGGCGGACCCGAACAGCTTCGGAAAGGGGGGGGCGGGAGGTATACACGCGTGCGCATTGCATGCGGTACTTGTCACTATACCTCCCTTCCCTTCCTTTCACGCGGCAGACCGTCTCGCGGTCCTTTGCGCGCGCGCCCGGAGGGCAACGGGGAAGGGGGCGAACGCCTGCGGATGGCACCCAACCCCAAGGGACTGGCACCGACGCACCAGTAGCCGACCACGCCGGCCAAGCGCCCACGGTGCCCCCCCCGCTCAGCAGCCTGAGCCCTGCGCAACCCCACCAGAGCTGTCCTCCCGCTGCCCGCGGCAGCAGGCGCCCCCTTTTTCCTGCGCTCGATAGCGACAGTCATGACAAGAAATGGGAGGCAGCCGGAGGAGAGCCGAATAAGGACTCGCCCTCCAACCGCGGCCGGGCACGGAGACGCCTCACCATGCCCGCCCCTAGTGCACGTGAGCCGCCACTGCGCAGCACCTGCGCAGCTGGGCAACCCCAGGCGGGAGCAACGGACGGTAGCGGCGCCCGCCGCGGGGGCGCCCCGTGGGCACTCGAACCAATCGGCTACCGAAGCGCACGCGGCACAGCACGCACTGCCTCGCAGCGCGCGCGCCCCCTCCACACTGAGGGAAGCGCGGGGTACCTAGGGGGCGCGCCTTGGGTTCGCAAGCGACCCGCCGTGCAGCTCAATAGCTGCCTCGGCACAGGCACGGTCAGAAATGACCAAATGGGCCGCCTCTCACACAGACCAACAGAAGTCAAAGAGGCAATCCCCAAAGACTCAACGTAGACTGTGCTCCGATTCGTCGATGCCCTCGGTGAACTTGGAGAGCCTGTTCAACAACGTTAGCTGGCAGGTCTTGGCCGCCCGGTCCACCGAAGCCCTCTGCGACGGGCCAATGCTCCAGTCGGCAACCTGCGCCACTGCTCCCTGGACGTAAATGCGGCATGTCTTCTCATTTCCCATCTCCCGTAGACGGCAGTTTTGGACATGGAGCCGTACTTGAGGAAGTGCCATGTAGCACCCCCTCGGCGCAACGAGTACGGAGTAAGATCAGGATGGCTCACCCCTAATGATCTTGCTGCCCACCTGAGCTCGCCCCCAAATGCCCCCGGGCAGTGCGGATAGAAGGGGCGGTCGGGCGGCTTCCCGTTGATCGCTGTCCGCAGTGCCGTGACCACCAGGGGGTCATCGAAGACGATCTGCTCAACTCTGTTTTTTCCTGTTGCTCCCTTTTGACTGTGGAGGTGAGACTAAAGCTCTGTCAACCCCGAAGAACTGCACCTGCCTGGGCGTCAGCTGCACGATTTCCAAAGTGCGCATAATGCCCAAGAAACCTACCAAACATATTGCAGCCAAGTCGCTCCTCTGCTTGGAAAGAGCCACGCCTGCCATAGTCGCGATGAGGGACTGGGGAAGCGGCAGCGGCCTCCTCCTCGTGAGCGCCTTGTCCCAGTTCCTGAGGTACTGACGCGAGATAGCGAGGTGCGCCTCGACTCGAGGCACAATCCGCTGCAATCCTGAAACAACTGCTGCTGCGTAACCGTGGCTGTCTCCCTCCATCCATAAACAATTTATGCGCCCTGAAAGTTCAATGTCTAGATCTTCCACCGCGTTGGGCAGCTGACTTCCGCATGTGTCCAAATAGCGAAAGAAACGGTTGACTTGAATTCGATAGCGTTCCCTGGTCCTGTCAGCAATGCCCACCCCCCTCAGATGCACTACTCTCCTTCCCCCCCCTCCCCTTGCCGGCTTCTGTCGCTTAGGCATCGGTGTGAACGAAAAGCCGACTTCCTCTGTCGGCCGGCATCCACCTTGAGATCGTCAAGATGAGGAGGATGTAAGCATCTGCTGCGAGGGCATACGCGGCCAAGCGCCTGCACGGCCGGTTGAGGCGTTTGCTGGAGGACCCCCCGCGGGCCAAGACGCCCGCCGTGACTCTGCTATCGATGACGTGCATAAAACGCAAGCCATGCACGTGAGCTCACTTGAACTTTTTCCTGAAGTAGTTCAGCACTGCCACGAACTCTAAAACGTTGATGTGCTGCGGGGCGACCCACTTATATGCCCGCGTGGTCTCCCAGCGCCAACAAAAAGCTGGATGCGGAAGGCCCTGGCGGCCCTCGGTGGAGTAGCCGGTATCCAGACGGACGTCAGCGCCGCGATAGTCGACCAGCTGGAGCAACGATGCCAAGTGCTTTGCCTCGCGCCCGGGCTCCATGGTAGCCGTCATCGCCAAAATGCGCTGGACAGCCAAAAGACGTGCGCTTCCCTGTGACAGCCGCTGCGTTGCAAGACTGAGCTCGCAACGGATCCAGACAGCCCTTTCGCTTGGTGCCGCCAGGGGGCGGGTCGCCTCGAACTCCTTCAACTCCTTCAACATCACCTCCGCGTAGACACGGCACATGCCCTCGGGGTGCGCAAGATCCATGAAGGTGCCGGCCCCGATGCTGGGTCGCACAGCCTCGTGCTCCATGGCTGGGCGGTGGAGCGCGGAGTGAAGCGCCGGGGAATTGTGGAGGAGGGCCATCCCCTCCGCCCGGCTTCCGCCGCGACCGTGCGGCCAGAGCACGGTGAAGCACACCCCGGGGTAGCGGAACAGCCTCCTGCTCAGCGGCAGCTCCCGTAACCAGCTGTCGACTGGGTGCGCCAATACCCCAAAGCCGTAGTTCTTCAGCCGCCACTCCACCCGGCGGAGCGCCAGCATGGCCATCTTGTTGAAGGCATCGACCTGCTTCTTCACCTGGCCCTCCAAGCCCCTGGGCCCCCAAAGATGCCTGTGGTCCCGGACTGGTTGTGGAGCGCGCCTGAAAGACCACGCCTCTGGTGCCCAATGCTCCCAAGCGACGGACTCGTGGTTGCACTCGTCGCAGATGAAGTTCCCGTGGCCCAGCGCCTGCGCGTCGGCGAACGGGCGCAGCTGCCCGCCCAGCGGCGCCGAAATCTCGGCGCCGGCCCGAGCCACCGCCCAGGCCAGCTTACCGTGGGAACCGGAGCAACATTCGGCGAACGCTGGGAGCCGAAGATCACCGCGACGACAGCCCGGGCCTCGGCGATGAGCGACAACGCACTCGACCGAACAGAGCACGACGCCACACAAGGCAGGGCATGGCGCCTGCTCAGCTGAGCCTCCACTCAAAGGACCCTGGCAATTCCCGCAAGCACCTCGGCCTAAGACTGGCCACGCGGACTCTTCCGCCAGGCCTGCATAATGGCTCTCCACCATATGGCTGCGCCTGGGGTCCATCGCCTCGAGGAGCGCAGACGCCTCGCAGGCTGCACCACCCTCTTCCGAGGCATCCGCGCAGCTCAACCTACGACGCATAGGCGCTCGCAGGTTGGAGTACGCCAGCGGGAGGAGGATGGTGAACAGCAAGACCTCGTCGAACGCCTCCAGGTCGGGAGCTTTCCGGCCGCCTTCCAGAGCACGAAATTCGAAGAAGACCTCCTGCAAGATGCTGAACAACGGCCGCCAGAACTGACCCGCAAAGCACGCCGCCCCCACGAAATGGCCCAGGGCACCAGCAGTCCACGAGAGCAGCGCGGCAAATGCCAACCCTTTCTGGGTCGTCTTGTGCATCTTCTCCCCTTGGAGGGAAAGCCAATCTCGGTCGCCGAGGAAAGCGCCGCCCAGCGCACCGGCTCGTAGGCACTGGGTGAGGCGCTTTCCCTCGTTCAGCGGAATGTCCCACCTCTCGCGCACTCTCGCGAACCTCTTCGCCTCCAGGGACTCGTCGAGCTCGCGGGCCTCGCACGCCTGTCTGTTGACCTTCTGAAGGAAGTCGAACCCGTCAAGGCATGCCAGCGAGTGCGCGGGCCCCTGCGGCAGCGGGAGATCCTTGCGGAACTCCGTCGACGGTGAAATCTCGGCCTCCTCGAAAACGAGCTTGCGAATCACCACCTGCATAAGGTCGACGGCCCCCGCCCAGCCCATGGGAACCGTGGCGATGCTCACGTACATCATGGAGTTGGGGTCCCCGCCCATCACGGAGCGGGGAACCCGCTTTTCGAAGCAAAAGAAGCCTCGCCAAGCCGGAGGGAGGTAAAAGATGTTGAAGCACCCCTCCTGGTCCTGCCCGTCGTCGATGAGGTACTCGTCCTCGGCCAGGTCGACGTGCGTCATCTGACCAAAGTAAGGGGGCGCATCGCTGGCACCACGGGGCCTCCGGAGGTAAGCGTTCGCAGGGCACAGAATGGAGATGAAGCGCAGCAGGTGCTGGGCGCCAGGGCCGTTGCCCTTATATTTGTCCACGCCCATCGCGCCATTGAGCACCATTCCACTCCCCTGGTCGCGGAAGATTTCGGATTCAGGGCACTCCACGAAGATGCCGCGATCCAGAGCCTCCCGGCATATAAGGTACCATTCGGAATCCGAAACGTGCACCCTGGAGCGAGGGGGCTCGTCCGGCCACTCCTCGCGGGGACGGAGGCACCGGAAGGGGTTGAGCACGTCCTCCAATAGCTCCCCCTGGAGCACTGCGACAACCGGGGCGATCGCAGCTTTCCCCGGGGCCGGCCACGCAACAAGCACCTCCTCCGCGGTGAGCTGCCTGCGCTTCGACACCACGGCACCGCTGTAGTCAACCCGGCAGTGCATGAGCTCGTCCATCGCCGCCTCGAAGCTGACCTCCCCGGTGCCCCACTCCAAGAACTGCTGCGCTGACCTGTGGTGGTGCCTGACCACGGCCTCCTGGCCCTTTGTGAGCTCGTTTCCAAAGTCTGCCGGGATAGGCCTCGCCTCCCAGCCGGCGAGGGCAATGAAGTTCAACCCCGACGCCATCAGCTCAACGACAACTGACTCGGCGCCCTGACGCTCATGGGGAGCAGGGGCCACGCATCCACGGAGAGCTCGAGCGAGAGCTGCGCCCAGCGGAATCGGGAAGAGGTCACGGGAGACGGAACTGGACGGGGTGTCCGAAAGGAAACGGCCTGCCGCGAGCTTCGACTCACGATGGAAGCGGCCAAATGCCGAAGGCAATGCGAGCAATCTCCCGCGCAACCTCGTCAACCCCACCCCTGTGGAGCGGCGCTCCCGGAGGTCCGCAGCGAAAGCCGCCTGCCAATCGCTGAGCTGCGCCGCAACGTCGGGAAGAGCGCTGGCCAGGTCCGCCGGGCAGGCCTCCGCCGCCGGCTCAAGGGAGGCCGCCGGGCACGGCGGCAATGCAAGCAGGCTGCAAGGCGCGGGCGAACACGACTCGCCCTGCCTGTTCACTTTCCTTCCCCCTTCTTGCCCTTGCTCTTTCCCTTTCCGTCCTTCCCCTTGTCCTTGCCTTTGCCTCTGTTGGTCCCTCCCGGGCGATCCCACCCCTCGGAGGACCTTGACCAATTGCCGCCTTTGCCGCCTTTGCCGCCGCTGGAGATCGGCCTCTTTCGTCGCGATGCACTCCAAGTCCTGGTCCATGAGCGTGGCGCCGTCGGGCTCCACCAGCTCGCAAAACTGGGCCCGGTCCCAGGGCCCCCCCTCCGAGAGGCTCTTCTCGCACGCCATGATACGCTGAAGGGCTATGTCTGCGGCCTGAGCCGGGCGCCGCGCAGCAAGGCGATCGGCGAGCACGCACAGCGTCTTGAGCTCGCGGGCCGTGCGGAGCGGTATGTTGGGGTAGGTCGTCTTGAGCACCCTCAAGTAGTACGCCTGCGCCACTGCTGGCGTCCTCGCTGGATCGTCGTCGGAGGTCGCCCCGCCGTCCTTCGTGACCTGAGCCTCCATCTTCTGGAGGGCCCGGGCGGCGAGATAACCCGGGTGGTCCCTGGCGTGGGCCAGCGGCCGCTGGTGCGTGGAGCGGCTGGAGGACGCTGAGGCCAAGCGAAAAACTCCGGACGATTCGCTTGAACTGGAACTGCTCCCGCAAGAAGGGCTCGTAGAACGACGCCTTCGCCTGCGGCTCCTCTTCCTCCTCCTCCTGTGACGCGCCTGCTTCTTCTTCTTCTTCTTCTTCTTCTTCTTGCGGCCGCGTCCCTTTGACCGCGAAGCCTCGGCTCTCTCAGGAGGGGTGCCCTTCGAAGGACCAGCCCCTCCCGCCCCGGCAGCGGCGTCTGCGGCTGGCCGGAGCCGGGCCAGGGCGCTTTCGAAGGGCTTGGCTTTCCTGGCCTTCCCCTCTGCTCTTCCTTCCTTCCTCTCCCCCTCCCTGCCCCTCTTGGCTCTCCGGCGGTCTGCTGAAACGGCAGCTTCGCCTGCGCCCTCGTCCAAATCTCGGGCTAGATCGCGCGGGTCTTGCCGAAGCCTCCCGTCGCGAGGCGCAGGATCGCCGGCCCCCTCGATGAGGCGCGCGCTCTGGCTGCCCTGGCCGTCCACGTGCTGCTGCGGAGGGGCCTCGCTGGTCTGGGCGGCGAGGAAATGCTCGACCTTGATCTTGGCGGTTCCCTTGGCCGCCCAGCCAACCTTCTTGTCGCGAAGGTCGTCGATTGAAACCGTCCTCCAGCGAGCCGCATGCAGCGTCTTCTCGCCCCCGTCCCCATTCGGCCGCCTCTCCTTGCAGCGGCTGAGGGGGACCTGGCACAAGTGGTACCAGCCTGGGTTCTGGTACCCCTTCGGGCTGAAAAACCAGTGCTCGACCGCGAAGACGTTGAGGTTGACCCAGTACTGGTCGTCCTGGTGGTTGACGTCGTCGACCTGCCCCAGGAAGTGACCCTGTGGGTTCAGCGAGTCGCCGTGCGCCTCGACCTCGAGGATCTGGCTGACCTTCGGGATGCAGTCCTTGAGGGAGACGCCGCCGTCGGCGCTTGCGAACCACAGGGGCGGCATGGCCCTGGAGTGATTGCGGCGCTGCTTGACCCGCACAGCTCCGGAAGGGAGGAAGCGGGAGGTATACACGCGTACGCATTGCATGCGGTACTTGTCATTCTATTCCCTTTTCTCTATTTTTACAATCCGGGGAGGCCCCCCCCCCCCCCCCCCCCCCCCCCCCCCCCCCGGAAAATCGGACCCCCGGGATCTGGCGCTTTTGGGGCCCCCTGGACGCCTTGCAAGGGGCCCCCCGGGCCTTCCGGGCTTCCTGGGCGCCCCTGCCGGGCCTTGCCAGCGGACCCAATGCGGTCAGGAGGGCGGCCAAACGGCCCCGCGAGAGCCCCGCGCGGCCCCAGACAGCCCCAAGTCGCCCGAAGACGACCCAAAGAAGACCCCCAAGAGGTCCTCCAAGTGCAAAAAAACAGCACTTCCCTTTCGTTTTTCCCAACCATCCTGTGGTGTTGGGTCCTCGTTTTGAAGAGACGGTGCCCCGCGTTCCTCTCCTTCCTCCTCTCCTCCCTCCTCCCCCTCCTTGCCTCTGCTCTCGGCACACCTCTCACGCGCTTCGTAGCCCCATAGGGAGCTCCACCGAAGGCCCCAGTGGGGGTGTTCGCATGCGGTTCCCCCACCCAGGGCAGCGTTTCGTGGCCCCATAGGGAGCTCCACCGAAGGCCCCAGTGGGGGTGTTCGCATGCGGTTCCCCCACCCAGGGCAGCGTTTCGTGGCCCCATAGGGAGCTCCACCGAAGGCCCCAGTGGGGGTGTTCGCATGCGGTTCCCCCACCCAGGGCAGCGTTTCGTAGCCCCATAGGGAGCTCCACCGAAGGCCCCAGTGGGGGTGTTCGCATGCGGTTCCCCCACCCAGGGCAGCGTTTCGTGGCCCCATAGGGAGCTCCACCGAAGGCCCCAGTGGGGGTGTTCGCATGCGGTTCCCCCACCCAGGGCAGCGTTTCGTAGCCCCATAGGGAGCTCCACCGAAGGCCCCAGTGGGGGTGTTCGCATGCGGTTCCCCCACCCAGGGCAGCGTTTCGTGGCCCCATAGGGAGCTCCACCGAAGGCCCCAGTGGGGGTGTTCGCATGCGGTTCCCCCACCCAGGGCAGCGTTTCGTAGCCCCATAGGGAGCTCCACCGAAGGCCCCATGCGGTGGGGGTGTTCGCATGCGGTTCCCCCACCCAGGCAGCGTTTCGTAGCCCCATAGGGAGCTCCACCGAAGGCCCCAGTGGGCATGCGTTTCCCCCACCCAGGCAGCGTTTCGCCCCCTAGGGAGCTCACCGAAGGCCCCAGTGGGGGTGTTCCATGCGGTCCCCCCACCCAGGGCAGCGTTTCGTGGCCCCATAGGGAGCTCCACCGAAGGCCCCAGTGGGGGTGTTCGCATGCGGTTTCCCCACCCAGGGCAGCGTTTCGTGGCCCCATAGGGAGCTCCACCGAAGGCCCCAGTGGGGGTGTTCGCATGCGGTTCCCCCACCCAGGGCAGCGTTTCGTAGCCCCATAGGGAGCTCCACCGAAGGCCCCAGTGGGGGTGTTCGCATGCGGTTCCCCCACCCAGGGCAGCGTTTCGTGGCCCCATAGGGAGCTCCACCGAAGGCCCCAGTGGGGGTGTTCGATGCGGTTCCCCCACCCAGGGCAGCGTTTCGTAGCCCCATAGGGAGCTCCACCGAAGGCCCCAGTGGGGGTGTTCGCATGCGGTTCCCCCACCCAGGGCAGCGTTTCGTGGCCCCATAGGGAGCTCCACCGGAGGCCCCAGTGGGGGTGTTCGCATGCGGTTCCCTTACCCAGGGCAGCGTTTCGTAGCCCCATAGGGAGCTCCACCGAAGGCCCAGTGGGGGTGTCCGCTGCGTCTGTGCGTCCCCCCACCTCAGCACCGTTTCGTAGCCCCTAGGGAGCCGCCACCGAAGGCCACGCCGTGGGGGTTTCGCAGACGGTTCCCCACCAGGCAGCGTTTCGTGGCCCCATAAGAAACTCACCGAAGGCCCCAGTGGGGGTGTTCGCATGCGGTTCCCCCACCCAGGGCAGCGTTTCGTAGCCCCATAGGGAGCTCCACTGAAGGCCCCAGTGGGGGTGTTCGCATGCGGTTCCCCCACGCAGGGCAGCGTTTCGTGGCCCCATAGGGAGCTCCACCGAAGGCCCCAGTGGGGGTGTTCGCATGCGGTTCCCCCACCCAGGGCAGCGTTTCGTAGCCCCATAGGGAGCTCCACCGAAGGCCCAGTGGGGGTGTTCGCATGCGGTTCCCCCACCCAGGGCAGCGTTTCGTGGCCCCATAGGGAGCTCCACCGAAGGCCCCAGTGGGGGTGTTCGCATGCGGTTCCCCCACCCAGGGCAGCGCTTCGTGGCCCCATGGGGAGCTCCACCGAAAGCCCCCGTGGCGCAGTTCGCATGCGCTTCCCCCACCCAGGGCAGCGCTTCGTGGCACCATAGGGAGCTCCACCGAAGGCCCCAGTGGCGCAGTTCGCATGCGGTTCCCCCACCCAGGGCAGCGTTTCGTAGCCCCATAGGGAGCTCCACCGAAGGCCCGCCCCGGTGGCGCAGTCCGCATGCGGTTCCCCCATCCAAGGCAGCGCTTCGTGGCCCCATATGGAGCCCCACCGAAAGCGGCACCCACAACGCGTTACCAACAATTGCTTATGGTTGGGTCTTTCGCCAGGATATTTTTTTGTTGAACAAAAAATAAACATGAATGTTTGGGCATTTGGTTCTTCGGTATTCCGCGCGTCCGAGTCCGCCGAAGAGGCACCAAAAATCCTCCCACAACGGTGTCCAAGGGCTTCCATCCAAAAGAGCCCCAATCTGGTCCAACAGGGCCGCAAGATGGCCCCAAGAGTGTCCCGCTGACAACCCCGCATGGCCCCAAGACGCCTCCCGAAGCACTCCAAATCGTGACCCGGTCGTTCAGGGAGACCGCGGCTGGTAGCAAGGTGGCCGCAAGAAACCCCCAGAGGCCCCCAAAAGGCGCCCGGGAGGCCCCCAGAGGTTCCCAAAAAGCTTTTGAGAGGGGCACAAAAACACATCCAAAGAGGAGCCCCCGCAATAAAAAATGGAGACGAGGACAAGGAGTGGCTCGCAGACAAGGAAGATTACGAGTAAGAGGAGAGGAAGTAGAAGGATAGTACATAACATTACTATAACGACGATGGCGCAAACGGCAACAATGCACCATCGCTATATTTGGTTCTCCTGCATGCCGAGCTTTAAGACCCAAGGTGCATGGCGCGAAGCGCCAATGCAGTCTTGTATATATATGTATAATAGGATATTATATATATATATATATAGTTATAATATATATATAATCATATATATATATATAGATATACACAATATATTATATATGGTCGCAACCCCCCCCCCCCCCCCCCGCCCCCCCCCAAGATCCCCATGTTGCTTCCTCCTCCTCTCCCTCCTCCTCCTCCTCCCTTCTCCTTTCAGCTTCCTCCTCCTTCCCTCGTTTTCCTCCTCTTCCGCAGGCGGAGCGTTTTTTTTTCATTTTTTTCCTCCTCCCGCCCTCGGAGGCAATGTGTTTTTTTCCTCTTTTTCCCTGTGAAAACACAAGTTTTTCCATATTTTTCATTTTTTCCTCTTTTTCGGTCTTTCCCCTGGGGCGGCGGAAAAATCTGGAGGGCCCGAACGAGGCGGGGAAAATAAGAAAAAAAGGAAAACTATGAAAACAAAAAAAAACCTGCGTTTTCACAAGGAAAAAAAGGAAAAATCTCCGCGCCCCAAGGCCGGAGGAGGAAAAAAGAGGAAAAATCCGTCTCTCCCTGTTCCTCCTCGTCGTCCTCCTCCTCCTCCTCCCCGTCGTCGTCGTCGTCGTCGTCCTCCTCCTCCTCCTCCGTCCATCTCCCTTTCCTCCTCTTCCGCAGGCGGAAAGTTTTTTCCTTTTTTTCCTCCTCCCGCCCTCGGAGGCAGAGTTTTTTTCCTTTTTTTTCCCGGTGAAAACACAGGTTTTTCTTTATTTTTCTTTTTTTTTCTTCTTTTCCCTGCCCCGTTCGGTCCCCCGAATTTCTCCGCCGCCCCAGGGGGAAGAACAGAAAAAGAAGAAAAAATAAGAAATAAAGAAAAAACTGTGTTTTCACATGGAAAAAAAGGAAAAAACTCTGCCTCCGAAAGCGGGAGGAGGAAACAAAAGAAAAAAAAAAAAGTTCCGCCAGCGGAAGAGAAGGACCACAAGGGAGGGGGGAGGGGGAGGAGAAGGAGGAGGAAAAGCGGCAGAGCAGGGGAGCGTGGAGGAGAGGAGGGAAGCTCGCTTCGGCGAGTTCGAGAACGAACAAAGCAGCGAGGAGCTGTTCCAAACTATAACAACATCTATATTCCTTGATATATTTTGCTGTTCCTAGCTATTGCTACATCTTCCGAGCTCTTCTCAAGAGCTCCTTCCTATTTGGTTTTGCGCCCCCGGACCCCTTTTTCGTGACCACCGCGTTCGTTTCTAGGCAGAAGAATCTCAGCTTTGATCCCAACGGCCCTGGATTAATCCAGCGGGGGGAGGAGCTGTTCCAAACTATAACAACATCTATATTCCTTGATATTTTTTGCTGTTACTAGCTATTGCTACATCTTCCGAGCTCTTCTCAAGAGCTCCTTCCTATTTAGTTTTGCGCCTCCGGACCCCTTTTTCGTGACCACCGCGTTCGTTTCTAGGCAGAAGCAATCTCACTCGGAATCCGAGCTGTCTGCCCAATGCTGGGACATGCGCTCGATATACATCTTGAGGTCCTCGTTCTCCTTGGTGAGGCGGCAGCACTCTGCCTCGTGCATCTTGAGCTCCTTGTTCTCCTTGGTGAGGCGGCGGCACTCTGCCTCGGCATCCGCGCACCTGGCGAACAGTTCCTCGAACTCGTCCATCGGGACCCCACCCTCCGCGTAGTTCTCGTGCTCCGAGCCGCCCTCGCCCCTTGAGCTGTCCTCCGAGCCCTTGCCCTCGCCCTCGGTGTCCTCCGAGCCCTTGTCCTCGGCCCCCTCGGTGTCCTCCGAGCCCTTGTCCTCGTCCTCCGAGGTGTTCTCAGAGTCGCTGTCCTTGTCCT